TAACATTTTCTTTTGGTACTGTACATTGCCACTGAAAAGTGTTTTTATCGCCTAAATCAGAACACACCGTGGGATATTTCAGTCTAATGTGTCACTTTGCCTTAACACGGTTCAGTTTAATAGGTGGGAAATACATGATATCTTAATATTCTTCAATATACAGTTGCTGTCATTACGGTGTGACACCAGTGTGTATGTAGAGCTACATTTTTTTTTCGCAGATCCAGAAATGTTCATTTTCACATGGTGCATCATTCCAGCTGTTTTGGTGATCATGGAGGTTTATATTCACACAGTCTTCATTGCTCTTGTCATAATTGTTGGGTTCCCCGGAATGCCAGAAGCTTTAACAGAAAACAAACCAACACGTTTTTTAATGAACAGAAAGTTCAAACAACAATATTAAATGTTTTTTTGAAAATGATGCTGTTGTTTTATAAAAAGGTTCAAGTACTTCTGTGGTTCGAGGACCATTTGTTTCAACAATAAAGTTGATTTAAAGTGAACAAAAGGGTAATACGTTTACCTTGTTGTAAGTTGTGTCCCATCTACCCATGTCCATTCTCCCTCTGTGTCTCTGTCCGTCAGTCCAATCCAAGTTATATTTGTGGATTGTCTTGAGAAATCCTTGTTTTCAAAGAGAAACATACAGTTATCAACTAATATTTAAAGAGGACATATTATTCAAATTTTCTGATTAATATTTGTATTTTGTGCGTCCACTGTGACATGTTTCCATGCTTTAATAGGCTTGTAATAGGCTTGAACCACATGCACATTCCTACCTGCTCTTCTTGGCTGTTGATAATCATCAGGTCTGCACCTTTTTGCTGACAGTCCCTTCTGCTGTCTTGCCAGGGCTTCATGGTGGAAGAAATACGATAGAAACTACCGCTGAAATAAACCCATCCTTGCTGTAAATAGTGAGCTGTTGATGAAAGAAAGAACTGAAATAATCTCGATTATCAACAAACAAAATCATGATAGAAGGACATTGAAAAACTGTCCTTCCTTGTTATTGGAGAACAGAAAGAACGATAAAACCTTAAAGGTCTCAGATATATACAAATATATATTTTAAACGTGTTTTGCTCAAAATACCAAACAGATCACCTAAGAAAAGGGGGGGGGCGGCGCCTCACGCCTGCACAGTATTCTACCCAGATACTCAGCTAAATGCTGATGAAACAACATATTATGTTCCAAACCACATCAAGGATTATTTCTGAAACAGTATGGAGCTCAAATGCTTTTTCTCTTTCGGGTTTACCAACATTTGGGTGAGTAGCTTTTTATTTCCTGCTTTTTTACACAAACTGTCTCCAGTACAGGTTAGCTCTCAGTGTTAGCGATGCTTGCTAATGTAAACAAAGACCATATTACTTCCGAAACACGTTGCGCATTGTTTCTGATAGTACTGTTGTACCCCCGTTTTTAGAGATTTGGGTACGGAGGAAAAGAGAGAGGGTTATGTTTTCTGAAACTTTGTGAATTCCCTTACACCCCGGGGACACATATGTATGTTTAAACAACATAAAAAAGTGCCTTTTGCATGATTGGAGACCTTCAATACATACATTAACAGATGATTAAGTAACAAATAAAATTGCCAAGGTGGTATCTACCGTATGATAAATCTGAATGTTTGCTCTTTCATATAATGGCCCACAGGAAGAACAATTGATTTCATTATCATACTTACCCAAGGCTCTCAGAGTTTTCTTCAGGTAATTTCTTCCTAAAACCAGGTTTTTTCAACTGGCCACCACATCTCAAACATAATTCCCATTGTCTTTTGTGTTTAACTATTAATGACGTGGGGGTTTGTTTCTTATTCATAGTTGATTACTGCATCAAAAGCATACAGGGAACTTGACTGTGAAGCTGTCATTTTGATTATTTTCAAGAATTCCAAATAAGTGACAACACGCTTTGAAAGGGATATTGAGTTAGATGTTCAAATGAATTTTGATATACATTTCGAGTCAATTTGTACACTCTGATGTACAGTTATATGTTGCTTCAAAGCATTCAATGTAACTGATATGTTGTAAGAGAATTGAAACAAGGGCTTCTTGAAGTGAGAAACACAAATTAAGACAAGCATCTTGCTCCCTTAAATAAGTCATACAAAGAGCAAGAAGCAGGGAAATGTTGAAAGCAGCTTGTAGAAAATGTGCCCAAAGGATTTATTAAAGTTAAAGAATTGACTTTCCCATTGTACCTACCATATTCTTCCAGAGTTCTCTTCAGGCCGTGGTTCTCCTCAGTCAGGATATTGCGACCGGCCTCCAGATCTAAAACAGAATTCTCAATGTTTATCATATCACAGTTTTTTTCAGTTGCTACCACAAGCAGAATTATTTAATCTCACACTCTGCACCCTATTTGCAATTCAACTTGGCACTTTTTGCAAAACACTGCACACGGTTCTCCAAGTAAGACACAGAAATCTGACATATTCACTTGTTTGCCATCTTCGACATTTAATCTATTGACTCGTGTTCACCAACACGATTTTCCCCTTTTTTTCATGTCAGACAGAACGATTTTAAAAGCAATGTATTTGTATTGGTAGTATGTTTCGTGCCTGCAACACGTCTTTTTTTCCATTCGGGTCTTGGAAGACCGGAAGCTGTGTGGTTCATAAAAACATTTTCTTACTCAATATCAAGCCATGATTATTGTTTTTATTTTAAATCGTATAATGTCGGACTTTTTTTGTCGTCTGTGAGGAAAATAAATGGGGCTCAGAGCCTCAAAATACTGAAATCTGTAATTTTTTTAAATCTTTTTTTCTTTCTAATTTGTTATTCTTTTCTAAATAACACACTGTTATTTACTCACCAATAACACACAATTATCCTTGTTTTTATTTATTTGTTTCATTCTATAATCTCTGGCTTTTTGGCCATCCGTCAGGAACTGAAAACAGACGTATGCGATACACACCCACTGAACTGATTACCCAAGATTCTCAGCTATAGTTGAAGCTCGGTAATTGGATGTCTGAGCTGCAATGCACGTTGGGATATGGTGTTTGTGCGATATGAAATCTGAAAACATTAAAAAATTATAATAATAATACTTTATTCCGAGTGTACTTGCTTTTCTCTTTGGAAGTGAGGGAGGCAGAAAGTTTAATATAGTGTATTTCTGGTATATTCATTTGAATGTAACCTTATATAGAATGTGTGTTAAACTTGTGATTTCTGCCTTGAGTGACTTCTGCCTTTGCAAGATACCAAGAAGAGGCCCTTTGGCTCTCTCTGTTAATTATCAATAGCCTGTACAAATAACAGGGAAGCCAAAGGGGATTTTCCTCAGATATAATGCAGTTAAATTCTTGTTAGTTAATG